CCCCAAAACCCCAAAACCCCAAAACCCCAAAACCCCAAAACCCCGAAATATAATTAAGGGTTGAAAATTAATAGTACAAAAATGGGTCAAATTGTATGAACTTGTACAAAGTCAGAGAATATGAGCTCCCAAAAGACTCCTCCAGGTAGCTCTAAGCACGAAGATGAGCAAGAGCTTGAAAGGAATTATACCCAATTGCCTTTGTTAAGGGCTAAAACTCCTGTGGGATCTGTTAAGAAAAAGAAAATTAAATTTAATGATTGACACGTTTCAGCTAGGCTTGACTCGACCAAAGATAGCCAATCTGGGAAGAAAGGTAGTCCTATTAAGTCTCCTGCACAGAAGAAAACAACTTCAAGGTTATCCTTTGGTTCCTCCCTCAAGCAAGAAGATATTTCCAAGGTATACAGTATAGGGGAAATTTTAGGAGCTGGGAAATTTGGTACCGTACGTCTTGCGTACCCGTACTCTAATCCTCACCTGAAATACGCTGTTAAAAGCATTCCAAAATAATTCAGAAAATATTATTTTTGGAAAACATGAGTTTAGAAGAGAGCTCTCGATTTTAAAAAGAATCGATCACCCAAATATTATAAGATTTAATGAAACTTACCAAGATGAACATTACTACCATATTGTCACAGAGTACTGAAAAGGAGGCGAACTCTATGAGAAAGTAGACCAACTTGGAAGCCTTTTAGAGGAAGATGCAAAGTGCATCATACAAAAGCTACTTTATACGGTTGATTACCTTCACAAGCAAGGGATTTGCCATCGAGACCTCAAGCCTGAGAACATTTTGTTCTACAACTTAGAGCACGACTCAGAAATAAAATTAATTGACTTCGGTCACAGTGCAGTGATTAAGGAAGAAGAAAAATTTAGAAGCAGATGAGGGACTCCTCTCTACATCGCTCCTGAAGTCCTTGAAGGAGAATACGACCAATCCTGAGACCTCTGGAGTATAGGAGTTATTACTTATTTACTCCTTTCAGGGATACCTCCTTTTATAGATGATTCCTATGAGAAGATCTTTGCAAAGATTAAAATTGGAAAATTTGCATTCGACGGTGACTATTGGAAAGGAATTTCTGAAGAGGCTAAAGATTTCATCACAAAGCTCCTTGTAGTTGATCCGAGTGAAAGGATCACAAGCAAAGAGGCCATTAATCACAAGTGGATCAAATCCGATCAAAAGAAGTTAAGCTTAAAAACTCTTTATAAATTAAAAAGGTTAGGAAACTGTGATCCACTGAAGCTAAAATTTCTATCAATCGCTCCAAATATGATCAAATCAGACCAGATCAATAAGACAAATTTAACTTTTAAGGCAATAGACTATGACAATTCCGGATGGATTAGTAAGGAAAAGATTAAGCATGTGCTTGAGAAATATGGTTATATCCAATACTCTGAAAAGATTTTATCAGAGTTTGAGTTCAGAGACGACTTTAAAATACCTTATAGTTTATTTGCGGGAGCCATTTCTGATGAGATCCGCCTTAAGGATTCCTTATACACAATATTTAATTACTTTGACGTGGAAAACAAGGGCAGAATCACTCCTGGCAACCTCAAAAAAGTGTTTCGTCGGAAGAACATTACTATATCCCCAGATGAGATGGCTGAAATACTTCCTTGATTCAATCACGAAAAAGAAATAAAATTTTCACAATTCAAAGCTATATTATTAACATAATTTTTGACAATTTTTCTATACTACACCTTAGTATTGGGGTTTTGGGGTTTTGGGGTTTTGGGGTTTTGGGG